CTACTACCTACTACCTACTACCTACTACCTACCACCTACTACCTACTACCTACTACCTACTACCTACTACCTATACTAACCACTAACCACTAACCACTAACTACCACTACCACTACCACTACCACTACCACTACCACTACCACTACCACTACCACTACGACGACGACGACGACTACTACAACAACATCCACAACAACCAGAACAACAACAACGACGACGACGACGACTACGACGACGACGACGACCACTACCACGACCACGACCACGACCACGACCACTACCACTACCACTACCACTACCACTACCACACTACCACTACCACACTTCCACTTCCACTTCCACTTCCACTACCACTACCACTACCACTACCACTACCACGACGACGACGGCGACGGCGACGACGACTACTACTACTGGCAAGTTTTCTTTTTTTCACCAGCGTGTATCGACCGACGCCTAACCGATGCCCTAACCGATGCCGCGGAGTGACTTCCACACCCGATCAAGGGACGTGCCCACTCGAGAGCAGATTTTAGGGTTCAAATGACATGCCCAAGAGAAAGGAACTAGCAGCTGCATATCACGAAAGGTAGCCTGGTAAGGACTACCTTGAGTTTGCTTTGCGAAGCAAAGGGACTGGCTTGAGAGCCTGCTCGGCACTAAAGATTGGCAGATCAATGTCTAACACCCCCACCCCCCCCCCCCACGTGATGATTCATCGCTAAATCACTTTTTTTCCCCCCCCCCCCCCCCTCCCCTCCCCGTCCCCTCCCCTCGCCAGCACTACTAGAAAGCTGGACACACCATGACACCATAAGGTGAAGTCATGCGCTTAGCAGTCACAGCAGTACGACGCTGGCCATGAGGTTGCGCAATGCGGCTTCGATGCGGTGCGCACGCGCCCGGCAGCCTGACATAGCGCGTACTGCGTTCACAGACCATATTGCTCGACACCAACGAGCATCGATTCAACACAGCCTCTCTGCAAAGCCCTGTGGAGAAACCTCTCGCTTCGCGGAGCACCATTCGACTCAGCCTTATACCCTCGCGTGGCGACATTTTACCGCATCGTGGAGCACCACTACACAGCTGTTTACGCGCCCTTCCCATCAGCCACCCACCATAGCGTGACGTCCATCCCTTGCAGTACCGGCGGCTTCGACGCAACGCGTGCAGGACTGCAATCCTGACACAGTGCACGTAGCTGTGGGACCATAGCTGGTTAACATGCGAGCGCTTACGCATTGCGACTTTTCCGCGCGCCTGTTTTCACACACCTTTACACAAACGAGCGTCGACGCAACGCAGCCTCTCTGCAGAGCCGGGTGGCGCAATCTGATCGCAACGGTGTTCCTCTTGAGCCTTCTTGTGCTCTTTGGCTTTGTTGGTTTCATCCATGATTGACCAAAGGGAACGTTCCTGAAACACCGGAGACAGTCCCTCACCAAAAAAGGTGCCGACAGCTACCCGGTCCGTCTCTACCATTCGTGTTTCCCTGCTCAAGTGTGAGGTCCTTGAACTTGTGAAAAGTTGTATGCTCTGCTGTGCGTTGCTTCGCCATGTCCATGACTATACTTTTGCTTGGAAACATACGGTATGTTAGTGAAATTCACCAAACATTGGAAACCGATGAAGAAAACCCAAGCCCGATGCCCTGTCCTGATGACCGCTCCCAGATGTAGGGAATTTTGGACCGACCTCAAATGCAGAAAGCTCAGGCACCAATGATTCTGTTACCAATTTCAGGGCAGAGATAGAAGGCTAGGGAACTTGAAATATCAGCAAACAAAATCACCTATGTAAACCCATCCAATCCATCCCTCCCCCTTGACGAGAGAAAGGCATCGCAGCTTTTGGATTTTGATCTTATGACAACTTTCGACTATCTTACAATGCGTGGCTACCCAAACAATATTTGCTAAATCATGAGTTTATGTTGGAAGTTGTGGACGTTGGCTACCACAAAATCTATTTTTGAGAGGTCTTTTAATGCTTGGCTTCCTATGATTCTATGTTGTTTTTTGCCTCGGCTACTCAGATTCTATTTCATTTTGAGGGGTTCCAACCCCCCTGTCCATCATAACAGCGATAGTCTAGGAACCAAATGAATAGTACCAGCGCTTCTTTACAAGGAAGCTTGGACATGGACGTGCGATTTGTGCTGCTTGGACGTACTGCGAGTCTTTTGGATTTGAGCCGTGTAGGTCGTGGGAGCCACACTGGTGCCTTTGACCATCGAGGACGATCTTGACCTTGTCGAGGGATGTGAACAGATGCGTCACGTTGAACGCAAGATGCATCTGCTCATCGCATCCTTAATGTTTACATTGACATTTTGTATTGTTGATGAGGAACTGAACAGTGTACAAACTTTAAATTCACATGCTTTTGCGAAAGCCAAAATGCCGGTTGCGAACGCCCGCAAAAGCTCCTATAAGAACTGTGTTGCGAACATTTTCGCGAATGTCGAATTTCTTGGCCCAATAAAGCTTCCCAATCGAAAACAAATCGTCGCGAAAGACTGCGTGAAAGCCAAAACGGAGGTCGCGAAAGCTCTGCAAAAGCCTTGCGAAAGCAAACCGGGATTATACATAATACACAAAAATCAGAAAAGAATATGCGGTTTTCGAAGCTGCTCTGATGATGCTAAAGATATCTCACGATGGTGTATCCCAAGGTCATCCAGAATCCACCTGAGTTTAATCCTGTGTAATCATCGGCATGTCATCGGTACTTTTCAATTCAGCTTGTCTTAACTGCCGGCAGGAGCGGCAGCAGATCTTGGAGACCAAAGGTCTCAAGCAGCGCCTGGAGTTGGTTCTGGAGCGACCCGGGGTGCCTTCGGGAGGGTTTTGGCCTCTTAGTCTAACTCTTTTGGCTCACTTGAAGATTGGTAATGCTACTACTTGTTTGTTGAAGATCCTTTTCATACCACAGCGACCAGGGACCTGATAGGTGAACCATCCAAGTCAAAGAACTGCAAAGGAAAGAACTCAGCAGTTCGTGGAGGAACATACATTCTACATGTCTATGTGGCCTAGTATCTCAGCTGTGGCTGTCACTGACAAAGCCACGATGCACTGATAGATTTCAGCTGGCAGGACTACTTGCAGCGTGAGTCGCAAGCGATGCGTGTGTCTACTCAAATCAGCGAGAGCATTCAGAGGCCTCCAACAGGTTGACAATTGCTTGAATGAATCCATGCACATCTCCATTGGATCCTGAAAAGTTGCCTCCAACAGTGAGAAGTGTCCAATAGGAGGCTGCGTAGTACTATATAATTGAAAACGGGAGAAGGACAAAACCAAGGTGTTTGGGCTCCTTCAATAAGGCCTCCTTTAAAGGTGCCTTACTAGAGGGGCCCCAAAGACTTCTTTGTACACACACACATATACATATATATATATATTTGTTCTTTAAGGTAGTCTTTTCTTTCACTGTAAGGTGTCTTGTGCCAGGTCGCGAGACCATGAGATGAGATTGGCGCATCCGACATGTCTTTGTTCGCAGCGAAAGGAACCATGAGCTAGCAGCAATGAGTTGCTCCTTTTGGATCCTTTCCATTCGGTTCCTTGGATTTTTCTTGGCCAGATGGCGCTTCAACGGCAAGCACAAGAGGCACGGCACGCTTCGGAACGCAGAAAATAGTTCGCTTCGGAACGCGGGAACGGTATCGCTTCGGAACGCGTGTCAGAGCTAGTAGGTTGGAGGCCATCAAAACGTGTGTGTGTGTGTGTGTCCCACCCTGGACAAAGGGTCTTGCCCCACCACTTTCACACAGGCAGGGGGTCAGTGATCCTTTCAGCAGTCACTGCCTAACAAAGACGCTGCTGATCGGATGTGATATTCAGAGAGGACGCTCTCTGAACGTACCTGCGCCAGTTTTGAACTTTTGCCCACGCTGTTCCAATCTCTCTTGTTTGCTTCCATGGTTGTTCACGTTTCCTCCCCCAAACCTCACGGAGCTTATTGCAGCTTAACTTTGCAGCCGACTCGTTGCGCGCCGTTCTTTTCTGCAGACTGGAACAACTTTTTTGAAACACCTACAAGTTTTCGGACCTTTCCACCTTGCCGTTCCATCGCCTTTTTCCCATTGAGACAATTGCGTTAACTGAAACTCCAAGTTCGAAGTGTGTCCTGCTCAGCCGTCCCACTCGGGTGCTGAGTGTGATCCCCTTCACAGGGGCGCCGTTCTTGCATGGGAAAGCAACCACCCCAACGCACCACCGATCACTGGAACATCACAGGAAGGCACCGACACCCTCACAGAATCAACCGCCACACCGGCCGCCGGGCCAAAAAACGGTTTTT